TTTTTTTTTTTTTTTTTGGTGGACCTGGGGATTGAACTCAGGCCCTTGCGCTTGCCAGGGAAGCACTTATTCCACTGAGCCATCTCCCCAGCCCCTACCTCTGCCTTTTTAAAAAGAGAATAATAATGATAATAAAAGCTATAGGAAATTAGCAAGGATTATTATATTGCATATTGTTGGGGCCAGGGAAACGGCTCAGTGGCACAGCACCTGACTGAAAGTGCAAGATCCTGAAAAATGCACATTGTTATCTTCAGATTACCAGACGTAGTCATTCACCCTGGCAAGCGCAAGGGCCTGAGTTCAACCCCCAGTTCTGCAAAAAAAAAAAAAAAAAAAAAAAAAAAATATATAAAAAAAAAAAAAAAAACCCACCCAAACAGATATAGGCATGCAAAATTGATTGAACAATATAAGTACTAACTGTTCCTTTTAATGAACTGATAGAAATTAGCAAAACAATTATTTTAGCACTCTCTGCCTCTTTCTACACACACACACACACACACACACACACACACACACACGTTTAATTTTCCCCTTCCTTTTTTCCTTTCTCCAATCTCAGTTGTTCTTTCCTTTTGACCAACTGCCTTTGATTTTTTAACCTAACCAGGAAAATTCTGGGTTTTTTTTTTTTTTTTTTTTTTTGGTGGAACTGGGGATTGAACTTAGGCCCTTGCACTTACCAGGGAAGCATTTATTCCACTGAGCCATCTTCCCAGCCCCCTAACCAGGAAAATTCTGGATTTCATGTAAGAGCAAATTCTATTTCAGAGAAGAAAATATTGACTAGTGTTTGTGTTGGGTTTCTGCACTGGAAAATATGAAGCTGGTTTATTTATTTCCTTATTTGATATAGAGTCTTGCTATGCAGCTTAGATTCCTGGTGATCCTCCTGTCTCAGCCTCTGCGGCATTGGGATTATAGGCATGCACCACCCCGCCTGGTTCCAGGGCCAGCAAGGTATGTGGTAGTGGGAATTATACTCTGGTCCTTGCGCTTGCCAGGCAGATGTTTAGGCAGCTGAGCTGTTTCCACAGCCCCTGTCTGAGTTTTAAAGTTTTTCTTTTCTTTCTTTTTTTTTTTTTTTTGTGTGTGAGATTGAACTCAGGCATTTGTGTTAGCCAGGCAAGTGCTTATTCTACTGAGCTATCTCCCCAGCCCTTTTTTTTTTTCTTGTGTTTTAAAGTTTCTATGTAAGTACTTTAGTAAACACACAGTAAACACTACATACAAATTTATTAAATAAGACACAAGCAAGTCAGCCTGGGAAAGCTAATAAGCAAAGGGGCAGACAACCTCAATATCCTGTCACTGCTCTTCACTCAGGGCTGTAAAATCCTAGTCTTCTACCACGTTGCAGGGAGTAAATAAAGCAAAGCTCTTCTTCTCCTCTTGGGATTCTCCCCACCCTTTTGGAAGGCCTCTCTTCACAGTGATTAAGTGGCAAAGTTACCCCCACTATGAATCACCACCATGGCCCTCATGTCAGGAAGGGCCTTCGCCTGACTCCTGGCAGCCAGCAAGTCCCAGGTTAACCAGCACTCTCTGGAATGACAAAGTGGGAGACAGGGCTAAGGCCCTCAGGACATGTGGGTGCGTACTGCTCTTCCCCAGCCCCAGCTGACAGGCTTATCCTCTGGCTGGGTCAGCTCCCTGCTGCCCTGGCCCAGGTGGTCCTCCCTAAAGTCCCATCTACCCTTCACTGTGGTGGAGGTCCTGGAAACTGATGGAGAGGGCAGGGATCTCCAGCGGCCACAGGAAGAGCTGCTGCTATGTAGATGACGAAGATGAGGAACTCAAAGCCTCTTCCAGACTAGAGCGGAGATCTTGGTGGAGGGGGTGCTGGAGTGCACACTCATGGGGAGCACGTAGCAGTGTAATGGGGAGAAAGCCAACATGGCTGAGACTGTGGACTTTAGAGGGCAGTTCTAGTGTCAGAACCAATGACACCTTTAGTATTATTATTTTTAATCAGTATTAACATTTATGAGGGGCTGGTGAGATGGCTCGGTGGTCTAAAGCACCTACTTAGAACAAGCTTAGCAAAGCACAGGGACCTCGGTTCTATCCCCCAGCGCCACATGCCAGCCAGCCCCGCCCCCTGGTGGGCTGAGCTGGCCACACACACACAAATAAAAACAAAAAACAAAAACATTTATGAATATGTTTACTGCTTGTCCTGGAGAAAGGCCTGATAAGGTTACCCATATCCAAGTATCTGGTTGATTTTTGGTATTTGGACTCAGGGATACTCAGGACTGAAGCTATATCCCCAACACTTTTTTTTTTTTTTTTCAGAACCAGGGATTGAACTCAGATCCTTGCATTTGCCAGTCAAGCGCTTATCCTACTGAGCCATCTGCCTGGCCCCTCCCAACACTTTTTGAGACCAGAGTTTGCTGAATTGCCCAGGTAGGGCCAAACCTTTCAACCATCCTACCTTAGGTCCTAGAGATACCTTTTCTTTCTAAATGAAGAAACTGAGGGCAGGGGAGATAGTGTTGTAGGCAGCCAAGTTAGATAGAAATATCATAGGCAGTCAGACAGGGCCAGGCCCTTGAAGCAGACAGCACAAAAGACAAGTTACCTTACAACTGTGGGAGGGATGGATGCTCCTGCTGTGAGCCAGACCTAAAGAGCAAACAAATGCCAACCTCTCTAAAGACTGGCATCCAAGATTGATCATCACCCTGAGGGAGACCAAGAATTGTTAATCCGACTACTACTGGATGGCTACCTGGTAAAGTCTTGTTCTACATTTATGCCTACTTGCTACTGACTTGCTTCCCCATTTGGTTCTGGGCTTAATTTTACCTGGGCAATGGTGCTTGTAATCCCATTGGTTGACCATAATTTTGTCCCACCTCTTGTCCACCTAAACGAGTTCCCATTCTTCCACCTTAGCCCCACATGGTTTTACAGTATAAAAGTCCCTGGAAGAGACAGCTTCCTGGGAACTACCTGCTCAGGCTCCCCTCCTGTCTCTCTCTCTCTTTTTAAAGATCCTTTTTATTTATTTTTGGCGGAACCGGGGATTGAACTCAGGTCCTTGCACTTGCCAGGGAAGCGCTTATTCCACTGAGCCATCTCCCGGCCCCTCCTGTCCTTCTCTTGGACAGGAGCTTTCTATCTCTCAATAAATATATTCTGCTCATAACCTCCGTTTGTTCCTAAAATTCATTCTT